TACATTGTAGCATATATATACAATATGTTACTGATATTCAAAGTTCAAAATGTGCTGTACCTGCATAACAACTCTCAAGTCTGATGACTTTTCTTGCAATCTAGTGTCTAATGCGACAATATAGTATATTAACATTTCACACTGTGCAGCATAGTTAATGACTATAGCTGTATTAATAGAATTCACTACCAGTATACCAATAGCTTGTACCCCAAGTATTACATAGTGCCAAACATTACTGAAAAACAAAAACTATTATATGAAATACAGTATAATGAAACTGATGTGTGGCTACTGTGTTTATACATATATTGAGAACTAAATCAACAATTTGACAGACTCTGTAATATTTAAGGCTTTTGTTGTAATTTTTAACTCTCCCTATTGCCAAAAATATTAATTGATTCTTGCCACACTTTCTTCAAATCTATAACTATCAGAATGTCAACTAAAACAACATGGATATATACTCACCCATAGTACACATCAAAGACTACAGTATTAAAAATATCAAACGCAGCTAAAAACATACCATGAAGAACCAAAGTGCTTACAATCCACACACCACCAAGTATTAGAATAAGCCTGAAAGATAGAAATGAACATTCCTATATTGCTTACTGATGCATTCAAACTATTGATACACAATTAGATTGGATGGCTGTTACAATTAACCAACTCATCAATGAACTCATTGACATGCCACATTCAAAGAATTTATGCAAGAAAAGGAAAAAAGAGAACCCCACTGAGCATTATTCCTGAAATCACACAACTTGTTAAGGCATAAGCTTATCAAAATGACTGGTAACATTTGTAACAACTACAAACTATTATTGTAGATGATCCCGTCACTGAAAAGTACCGTTTCATTGACATTTGTAAAGTATTGCAGCAAATTGTAGATATTAGTACAGTTTTGTCTCAGTTTTTCTGTAGTTCATTTTCATGGTTGTAAGCAGGATTATTTTCTTTGTTGTGTGATACGTCAATCATTTTGTATTGAAAAAAAAATTATGCAAATAATCCACCAAGCTTATCTAGAGAAAGAGAAGTGGATCAACATCAAAAATGTCAATGAAATACAAAATATCTCCACTGAAAATTCTACTAATTGGAGAAGCGTGCATTGCGTTCAGAGATGTAAAATTACAATAAATTACTACCTCATAGATCTAATCATGTTTGCCTGGGTAATAGATCCTGTCTGTAAAGGAGATGCTTGAAGATAAACCTGTGGAGCAGAATAGATATATAGTATGGAAAACTTTAGGGTAATATACAATATAATGGTAATACACTTCAGTACAAATTCATTTCAACAAACTAAATGTTGTCTCAAATGGTAATACACTTCAGTACAAATTCATTTCAACAAACTAAATGTTACCTCAAATGGTAATACACTTCAGTACAAATTCATTTCAACAAACTAAATGTTACCTCAAATGGTAATACACTTCAGTACAAATTCATTTCAACAAACTAAATGCTGTCTTCAAAGCAGTTTGCCAGAAAATCTGATCATACATCAATAAAATGCTGACTTTAATATAGGTATAGAAAGGTAATAAACGCCTGGTTTAATTGCATATTAAACAGGAAATTGACATAGCAGGTATAACAGTTTTCAAGAATAGGTTTAAATTCCAAATGCCAATGGGACAGATGACGAACAATCCCTATAAGAAAAGCACCACTCTGTCATCTTTAATGACAGTGGTGCTACAAATTGCATGAAATATAATAATTTTAACTGTTTAACTGCTAGGGATACATGTCAACCTAACACTACAAGTCAGTGTTGTTGACATCCATTTGGTACTATAACAGTTTGGGTGCTTTAATAGAACTATATTTATCCATATTAATGAGGTCATCTGACCATCAGATAATGGGCTCTGTTGTGGACTAGAACGCAAATTTAAATTGACATCAGAGCTAAAAAGTTTTTAACTGATTGTTATGGTCATGGTTTTTAACACCTATCAACAATGTTGTTAACATCCACTTGGTAATGCAACTACAATAACATTTAAGGTAGAGAGATGCAGTTTATTTAGCAAATTTTGACAAATTTCACTTTTTTTTTCATTTGTTATGGCATTGTATGAATATCTGTATTCTGTGAAAATTTGAAATTAAAATCATTAGTGGAACTTTGTTAAATCCAATGGGGATGTAAATCAGCATATATTTTTACTTAACTATAAAATTTGCAAATTAGCAATTATCTCAGCTTCTATTTAGTGCACATCCCAGAACTTTAAAAAAAATTTGGCTTCTAGACGCTTTGACAATGTGTTTATCTTCAAAACGCCGTCGGGGCATTGTTTTTGGTTGAACAGTGTTACAACAATCGTACAGACAACTAGCCTGGGTGTTAATTTATGCATAAAGTTGAATTAGTGAAATTTGAGCTGCTGCCCAGCAAAATTGACAACTGGTAGACAGTTTTCAAGACGGCACTTTCTTCATAGTAAACAGATGTACCCGTAAACCATGTTTGACAGGAAACAAAGGCATGGTTTAGATGCTATTTTTTTTAAATCACTTTTGACCCCAAAAAAACACATTTTTGTGCATATTTCAAACTACAGTGTCCATAAAAAAAAAAAACTAAAAAATTTTTAAATTCATACAAAAATTCCGAAAATATATAGTTTTGTGGACAAGGGAGGTCATCTTGGTTGCCTAATTATCTAATTAAAATACCTGTCAGGTAAACTGCATCTCTACCGTAAGCATATTGACAACCACACTTCATAACACCACAGGACATACTGGTAGTGTGAACCAAAACAAATTTCATATGACAGTAGAGCCAAATAGTTAACGAAATATGCTTTTAGTTGTTTGCTATACTTAGAATTGTACACCACCCCCACAAATCTAGCCAAAGGTGATACATTGTAATATCAGAAAAACATTAATTATATTATTGTTAAACAAAGCAATGTATCAGAGCAACTGACCACTGAAATCAGTCAGTACATTTTCATGAAATCACAGCTGCATCATACATTATGCAATTTTGTTTATTAAACCATAACGAAAACTCTGAACTCTACTATACGAGCATACTGAAGAAAAATCATGTAAAAAATCACAAAAAAAAGAATATTGAAATTAATCTTAAAAATCATTCAGAATGCAGTCTCCATTCTGTATTAAATACAAAGTCTATCACTAGTTGCGATTTACAATTATTTATGATTATGTATTATGTTGTTGCTGAAAATATTTGGTTCAACCAAATCCTATCATTATACTGAATTCAAACATATCAAATAATGTGAATTTCATATGAGAAACACATGTGACATGCACCTGTAACCCAATATGCATGACCATGATGTAAAGTTTGAATAAAATTGACCTGTCAATCTCTGAAAACATTTCCGTTTTAAATATCTGGATTTAGCCAAGGCTGCGGCTCAATGGGCAAAGCCAATGCCGTGGCTCAATGAGCAAAGCCAAGGCTGCGGCTAAATGGGCAAAGCCAAGGCCGCGGCTAAATGGGCAAAGCCAAGGCCGCGGCTAAATGGGCAAAGCCAAGGCCGCGGCTAAATGGGCAAAGCCAAGGCCGCGGCTAAATGGGCAAAGCCAAGGCCGCGGCTAAATGGGCAAAGCCACGGCTAAATGAGCAAAGCCGCGGCTAAATGAGCAAAGCCAAGGCTAAATGGGCAAAGCCAAGGCTAAATGGGCAAAGCCAAGGCTAAATGGGCAAAGCCAAGGCTAAATGGGCAAAGCCAAGGCCGTGGCTAAATGGGCAAAGCCAAGGCTAAATGGGCAAAGCCAAGGCCGTGACTAAATGGGCAAGGCCGTGGCTAAATGGGCAAAGCCAAGGCTAAATGGGCAAAGCCAAGGCTAAATGGGCAAAGCCAAGGCTAAATGGGCAAAGCCAAGGCTAAATGGGCAAAGCCAAGGCTAAATGGGCAAAGCCAAGGCTAAATGGGCAAAGCCAAGGCTAAATGGGCAAAGCCAAGGCCGTGGCTAAATGGGCAAAGCCAAGGCTAAATGGGCAAAGCCAAGGCCGTGGCTAAATGGGCAAAGCCGTGGCTAAATGGGCAAAGCCAAGGCTAAATGGGCAAAGCCAAGGCCGTGGCTAAATGGGCAAAGCCAAGGCTAAATGGGCAAAGCCAAGGCTAAATGGGCAAAGCCAAGGCTAAATGGGCAAAGACAAGGCTAAATGGGCAAAGCCAAGGCTAAATGGGCAAAGCCAAGGCTAAATGGGCAAAGCCAAGGCTAAATGGGCAAAGCCAAGGCTAAATGAGCAAAGCCAAGGCTAAATGGACAAAGCCAAGGCTAAATGAGCAAAGCCAAGGCTAAATGGGCAAAGCCAAGGCTAAATGGGCAAAGCCAAGGCTAAATGGGCAAAGCCAAGGCTAAATGGGCAAAGCCAAGGCCACGGCTAAACAAATTTTAATGTTGACTTACATGTTCAATAAGTGCATTTAACTCTTCATTTTCACATAAACGGAATATCCATAAACCCATGACAAATGCAATCAAATGTAAAACATCAGGTATAATATACGTTGTGAAGATATGATAACAGTGCGGAGTGGAGTCATTATCATTATAAAGCTGGATAACTGGTGACCTGATTACCGTCAATGCTGATGAGGTTTCCAGGCTATTAGTATCATTGGTAACCACAGAATCTAAGGATG